CACTCACTCACTCACTCACACTCACTCACACACACACACTCACTCACACACGCACACACTCACTCACTCGCACACACGCACTCACTCACATGCACTCACTCTCACACACACTCACTCACTCACTCACTCACACCCGCACGCACGCACGCACGCACACACTCACTCACTCACTCACTCACTCACTCACTCACTCACTCACTCACTCACTCACTCACTCACTCACTCACTCACTCACTCACTCACTCACTCACTCACTCACTCACTCACTCACTCACTCACTCACTCACTCACTCACTCACTCACACACACACACTCACACAATCATGGACATGATTCAAAAAGGTGAAATGGTCCTGAAAAATAGTCACACTTATATTGTTTGTGACCAGAAATGACCACATTGGAAATGAATGGGCAGTGAATTTGCTCCCAAACAAAATCTGACTGAAAGCTTTTTTTTTTTTTTTAGATCAACTTCAAATTTGGAACACTACTTGTTCAGATTTCCGGGTTTGTTTTTCTTGCAGTTTTAGAGTAAAACATGTTTTGTTAATTAAATATTTCACAACCGTTTTTTTAGTTTCACTTTCTAAACTTTTTTCACTTCATCAATAATCTGCCAAGAGTATCTAGCAGTATGTATATATATATATATATAATATTTTGATCGCCACATGAACAACAACACCAGAGGGTTAATAAATGTTTTGACAATAGCAATATTATAGGTAATAGAATTCTTACACAAAAATAATGTAGTTTGTGAATTTCTTAATTTTTCAAGCATCAATTAAACCCTCTATACCCCCTGAAGCTATGCCTCCAGAACTCTGAATCAAATGCATGTGTACAGTAACAAAATACTATAAGGCTAAAATGCAAAAATTAAGAAAGTCATATCGGTTTGAACGACATGAATTTGAGTAAATAATGACTGAATGATCATTTTCTGTGTGAAATATTCCTTTAACATGCACTCGACATATGCAAGAAATCCCCATTTTAACAGTTTATTTTCCTCCATTACTCTAGATTATGCCAAAGGATTTGGAGGGAAGTATGGTGTGCAGAAAGACCGAATGGACAAGGTACATTGCTCAGATCATTACAATTAGCACACAGATGAGCAGAGCTGGGTAGATTACTTACAAATTGTAATCCGTTACTGATTCAGAATGACATGACAAAAACTGTAGCTAGTAATGTAATCCATTACAACACACATTTCAGGTAACGTAATCAGACTACTTTTAGACTACTTACGACCTAAATGCTAAATTAAAACAAATAACCAACGTCAAAGAACCATGAACATGCAAACGTGATACTTTATTATTAAAATATTTATTGTAAAATCTCAGGGGTACTTCAAATAAAAATATAGGTGAAAGGATGACAAAAAAAAGTTTTCTATTTTTTAAATTGATGCATTTTAATGTGTTTCAAAGACAAACGGCTTCCAAAGTAATGCGTGGTAGAATAACTGACTGATAATTCAAATAAAAATGAATGTGTTCATGCGATGCTGAAACACTTTTTTTGTAAATCCAGTGGTTAAATGCTGTGTGGCCTCCTGACTAACTGGAAGACTTTCTGAGTGTGTATAAGCGGTAGGCTATTTAAGAAAGGAACATTTAAAAGAGGAATTAGGCAGAATCAATAAATTATGAATAAATTATTGCTGTTGTGTAAATAATATGTAATCATGTAATCCATAAAAAAGTAACTGTGGTCTGATTACTAGTATTTTAAAGGGTTAGTTCACCCAAAAATGAAAATTAGCCATAAATTACTCACCCCCGAGGCATCCTAGGTGTATATGACTTTCTTCTTTCAGACGAATCCAGTCGGAGTTATATTAAAAATTGTCTTTGATCTTTCAAGCTGTTTAATGGCACTCAGCGGGTGTTGCATGCATCAGTCCAAAAGAAGTTAAATAAAAAGCGCCCATCCATAAAAAGAGTGTCTCACACGGCTCCGGGGGGTAAACAAAGGCCTCCTGTAGTGAATCGATGCGTTTTTGTAAGAACAATATCCATATTCAGAACGTAATAATCACTTTAATCTAGCTCACGCCAGCAGTTGCACACAGAAGCAGCTCCGGGAGCATGACGTATGAGGTCAGCGCTGCGCATGCGCCGGTGAGTCTCGTGAAAACCAACGTTTGTTAACAGCAGCAACGTTTCCTTACTTTGACAAAGGAAAACCAGTCTCCTCTTGGCTTATATCGAAATCCTCCCGACATTCTTCTTTACAAATCCTCGTTTTGTACTTCTAATTAGTGACCGTTGTTTTGCTTTGAATTTTATGGATGGGTACTTTTTATTTAACTTCTTTTTGACTGATGCATGCAACACCTAAATGGCTAATTTTCATTTTTGGGTGAACTAACCCTTTAAAATGTAATATAATCTAATTAATCTGTGTACGCAATCTAGATCGCATGTAATCAGTGCAGATGAGACATTCGTGTTCACATTCTAGTGTTTTATGTTTATATGCAGTCAGAACCAGAAAGACGGTTGTGAAAATGAGTGTGCGTTCACTCTGTGTTTGGGGATGGCAGTAGTTTGCGGTGTGATGCTGTCATTGCTCTCGTCTTCAGAGCGCCGGCAGGTTTGAGGAGGTGGAGAAGCCGAGCACGGCGTATCAGAAGACCCGTCCTGTGGAAGCAGGTCAGGAGAAACACACACGCTATAATGAATCAATCACAGCCTGTAGAGGTTTGAGTGAAGACGTGCTGTGCTCTGTTCAGCTGGCAGCGGCGCTGGAAGTATTAAAGCTCGCTTTGAGAACATTGCGAAGCAGAAGGAGGAGGAGGACCGGAGGAGAGCCGAAGAGGAGCGTGCTAGACGACAGGCCAAGGAGAAGCAGGAGCAGGAGGAGGCGCGCACAAAGCAGAAGGTGTTTTTCTGTCGGTCAACACACGCCTGTCTGTTTGCTGAGAAACAATATGATATTACTGGAGTTGGCTATCGTTTGACTTTTATCCATTCCGATTCCCAGTTTCGATTCCAAAAAAATTAAGTCAAACATTTAGATATCAAACATCTTTATGCAAAGCATTTAATTGCTGCTGAATACCATAAACACAAAAATCTGCCGGCTGCATAAAAACCAGACTCGATTAAGAGCTGCAAAATAGAGCGGCGTGATTCTGGATAACTTGAGACACTTTTTTTAAATGTAGGTTGTAGTTCTCTCACAATTCTGAAGAATAAAAAAATATTAGACAATGAAACTAAATCTCATGGACTTTATGAATGGAATGATTCACTCAAGATGTACTCGTTTCATTACTGGCGGAATCAGTGTTTTTGAATGAATCTCTCGAATGATTCAAAGACAAATACATCTTTAACAGCCCCTTTTCGCCACCTACAAAAATAAATAAAAAAAGATGCGTGCACAGAAATTGAGATTCCAAAGTGTTCACCTGTTCAATGCTTCAGCCGCTGGAGCAGCAAGGGTTACCTGGTGCAGCTTTATGCAGGTGTGTGCTCTCAGTGCTTCGGTGACGTGTGTGTGTGTGTGTGTGTGTGTGTGTGTGTGTGTTTCAGGGGCTCAGTCGTACGAGTTTGGAGAGGATCTCGGCGTGACTGCCGTGGCTCTGTACGACTATCAGGCTGGTGAGTGAACAATCTGAGGAGTTTGACTTTACAAACTGTGGCCTTAAACATTTTGCAGTGTTTACGCTGTATGTGAGTGGCATGACACCAAAAATAGATCATTCCTGTTATACCAAAATAATAATAATAATAAAAAAACATCACGTAAACGGGTACATTATGGTTAGATTATATGTAGATATGTCTGAATCTGCTTTAAAAAAAAGTATGATTTGTTGTTTGAAGTTTTTTTTTTTTTTTTTACAGTTGAAGCTTGAAGTGTTTGCCAAGGGATTAAAACATAGTATTGTGAGATCAAAAGTCACAATTACCTTTTTGGCTTCTTTTCTTGCAGTTCTGAGAGAAAAACTCATAATTGGCAGATATACACACAGAATTGCAAGATAAAAGGTCAAAATTGTGAGAAAGTTAAATTTTTTTTACTCTGTGGTGTAACAAAAAAAGTCAGAATTGTGAAGTTCCAAGAAAATTCTAAGAAAAAGTTTCAATTGTACAAACTAAAAAAAGATACAAATAAAAAAAAAAGATACAAAAAAAAGTCAGAATTGTGATAAAGTAATTTACTTTTTTATTATTATTCAATGGCTGAAACAAGCTTCTATAGTGTACACGATAAAAAAAGAAGGAAAAAATATATATACAGTTTTTGAGTATATAAAACAATACTGTAT